GGGGAGGCGTGGAATTTGGAGTCATGGTTAGTCTGGTCTCTCAGACCCTCCACACGTTCCCCCCTCAGGTGCTCCTTGGAAGCCCCGGTGGGTGCAAGGGAGGGGAGGTCCTGGCAACTGCAGGCCTCTCTGCTTTAGCTGCTTGGTAACAGGTGGCTGGGGTGAGGTGGGCGAGTGCCCCAACCTGCTCTGAGCAAATAGGGCAGGTAGAGTAGAGAAAGATGCCTAGCCACTGGCAAGTGTTCTCAGCTCACATTCAGTAGGCACCTCCCGTGGGCCAGGCCCGAGCAGGCATGTTGCAGGTCTCATGGGAGCCTCACGGGGTGAGATCGATGCTATTATCATCCCCATTTTCCAGATGAAGAAAGTGAGCCACCGAGAGAATAAATAGCTTGCTGGAGGTCCCACAGCCATTAAGTGGCAGAGCCGGGACCCAGCCCACAGTTGTCATACTCTGAAGCACCTGGTCACCACTTGGCCACCTGGCCCTCTGCTCAGTAGCGGAGTGCCTTTCTTACATATTTGTTCCTCAGCCTGCAGAAAGGAGTCCCTTGCTCTGGCATCGTGTGTATAGGCCCATCCTCTTGTCTGCCTGTCTGGGCTCATCCTGCTCCACTGTGCTTTCTCCTCTGGAATTCTCTAGAAACCTTGCACCAGAAAGGATTAGAGACAGACGCTAGAGCAGTGGTGAAGCAGTGTTGCCCATGGGCAGGACTGGCAGTGAGCATGGAGTTTCTTCCCGAGGTTCTCTGGGTACCAGAATAACTTGGTTCCATCACCAGGCAGGCCCATCACAGCTGGAATTTCGATCAGTTAGGTGCTTCTCACAGAAAAGCTTTGCTGTGCTTCAAGGGCTGTGACAGCCAAGCAGGAAGTGGATGGGTTCTGCCTGGGTAGGGAAAGGGGTCCGGGGGGCTTCCTGGAGGAGGGGACATATGAACCAGGCTTTGAAGGATGAGTAGGATTTGCCCATAGGGGAGGGTGAAGACAAAGACTCAAGGTGATCAGACGGCCCTCTAGGTCAGATGAAGGTGACAGATTCCCAAAGGCTGGAGTGGGGTGGGGAGACGGACGCAGCTAGGAGGGGCCTTATCTAGGGCATCCTCCTTGTCCCCTGCCCAGCTGCTGCTTGGCGAGCCTAGAGGGCAGCAGGCTGTGGAGCTGTGCCAAGGTCAGTCAGGATGTCCAGTAATCGTCCTAGCTCTCTACCTGCTACGGAACGATAATGAGAGGGTTTCCATTATTTTCGGGTGAGCGCCCCTGGCAGATGCCGACAACCAGCAGATGTGTGAGGTCTGAGGTGATTTGCAAGGGACCGGTTCATATGATGCACGGTAATTGCACCAGGCGACGTTGTCACTCAGAGCTTGTCCCAGCCTCCGGGATGAGGTAAAGGTCAGTTCAAAGATCTGGTGTGGCCAAGAGAAGTAGGGGCAAGTCCCCACCCTCTCGGGAGACCCAGGGAGGGTGCAGTGGACTGAGGCGGAGGCCGTAGTCTCAGAAGGGCCGTCTGACCCAAGCCTCACTGCCAGGGCCCTGCAGTGGGCCCCCTCTTCCGAGGGTTCTTGGGTGTTGGGGTTCAGGATGACATGGCCTGTCCCAGAGCTGGGCCCATCCCGATGCCAGAATCTCTGGACTTCGCTCCCCCTGGGGGGCCCTTTGCAGGCCGTGTCACAGCCCTGAAGCACACCTGGCTTGGGCTTTCCTGACATTGAATTTGTGTGTTCCAGGCCTCCCTAGGCTGAATCTGAAGTCTGGCAGCAGACGCCTCCAGGAGATGCCGAGGGCTTGGTTCCTGTTTCATCTGCTGCAACAGACTACTGCAGCCTGGGGGGCTTAACAACAAAAGTTCACCTCCCTGCAGCTCTGAAGCCCAGGCGTCCAGGATCGAGGTGCCGGCAGGGCTGCTTTTTGGCCAGAGTCCTCCTCCTGGCTTGAAGGGGGCCGCTGTCTTGCTCTGTCTTGACTTGGCCTCTTCTCTGTGCTGGCAGAGAGAGCTCTGGTGTCTCCTCCTGTAGGGACACTAATCCCATCATATCATGGCCCCACCCTTATGACCTCATCGAACATTCCTTACCTCCTTAGGGATTCAACATACGACTTTGTGGGAGGGCCACAATTCAGCTCATAGCACTGGCCATTCAGGGCCCCCGGTCAGTGCTGACCCATCTTTTCACACTTTCTGTCCTGCTGGCACACACAGCCTCCCCTCCTGTGGTGTCAGTTTCCCTTCCAGCGAGGAGGAGCTGGGCCTTACCTGGGCACGGTGCTTCCCGTACTGGGAAAGCACCAGCGCCTTGGCTCCCTGGCTCCCTCGCCCGCCGCCCGCCTCCCGCCGCCTCATCCTCAGTTGTGGCCTTGTGGGCTTCACTCCTGACAAGCTGCATGACCTTCTCAGGTCTCTGGTTCCCGGAGTCTCTGTTTCCTTGTCTCTGGAATGGGGATCATGGTTCTCACCCCCTCAGCACATGCTCAACACCCCCTGTGCTCCAGGCACCTGGCCCTGGGGGGTGCTCGTAGGGTCACAGACCTTGAGGCTCTGCCCTCAGGGAGTGAGGATGAAATCAGATCACAGCATTGAGCCCAAGGCAAGGCTCAGGGTGATGTCGTATTCATGCTTTACTCCTTTAATAATCATAATGAACACTTGTTATTTTCGGTAATTAAGAAAAATGAAGAGAGGACCTGGAACTTGTCCCAAGTGGTCAGAAAATCAAAAGAGGCTGCGGCCGGGGGCACGAATGAACAGACCCACAGGGAGGGGCCTTCCCCAAGCTCTTCCCACCGGGTGTTCCAAGGATGGAGTCAATCCTAAAACTAGTTTGGTTTTAAAGCATGTGTTTTGGATGAACTCACGTTGGTGTTCCAGGGGAGAAGCAGTGGCTCAGGTGTCCTGAAGTGTGTTCCATTATTTACTTATTTTTTTATGGGCACGGAAGTTGTGTTTGGAATAGCAGATGTGAGGCACTGTCATCTCTCTGTCACACCGATTGCTCACTGTTCTGAGAAGGTCACATCGTAATCCATTAGCAATAATTAGTCCCCCGGCACCCCCTGCACTTCTTCTCTCAACTGCTCCATTAACTTGGATGCGAATCACACATCCCGGGTGCCAATCAGTGAAGATCTGTCCGTAATGTACAAGGTGGTGCTATTAGTTACAATATATTAACTGCCTAATTTAAAAATACAAAAGCTGTCTTTATGAAGGGCAATTAAGCACTAAACGTAATTGATAATTCATAACCCTCTGATTAGAAAAGACAAATACTAAGAAAGGACTGAATCACCTGGGCTATTGATTCCGACATTGTCAGCCTCTCTGTCTGTGTTCACCCCATTGTCAGTTGATCTATCAGTTTCTTCCCAAATCACACCTGCCGGCTCCAGTGCTCGGAGGGTCTGGAGGCTCGTGATAAGGTGGGAGTGCATGTTTTCACCACTGAATCCTGTCTGTTTCCATTGGGGCTTGTGAGGGGGCTGCAAGCCCGGAATACCCTCCAGGGGAGGCAGTAGATGTCCTAAGGAAGGAGCCATCTCACCAGCTGTCATCTGGATTTTCCATCACTCAGTTATTCAGCAAACGCTTTTTGGGGGCCTGTTGTGCACTAAGCCCTGTGTGAAGCACTGGGGATGCTGAGGAGCGTGGAATGGACCCCTTTCGTGACCTCATGGAGCACATGGGTCCAGGAGAGAGATGATGGACAAATGCATAAATGAGAAGGTTGGAGATACTGGTTCTTCTTAGAAAGAAAAAGGTAGAGACAGAGCATGGGCAGCATCACACAGGATGGTCAGAGAAGGGGACATTGGACAGACCATCCACCTTTTCCCTAAGGTTTCCCCAGCCTCTGGACTTGCAGCCTGGTATCTTCCAAGAGCCCCCGCTGTGCTCTCTGCAGATGCAAGATATGACGGCTCCCTCACTGTGGCCGGGGTTTATCCAGGGAGAGCTGTGTGCTCTGGGCCAGGCCTGTGTGGCTGGCCCACCTCTTCCCACCTCTCCCGGCCTGCTGGTTGCCTTGCTTGGGGTCACGCCAGCCTCCTTTCCTGCGCAGCCAGGCGCGCAGCACTGACTGTTTCTGGGTCCCCTTTCCTTCTGCTGGTCGCTGTTCTTTTGCCTTCTTGCTTGCCTGGAGGTCTCAGCTCCTGGGCTGCCTCCCGGAGGAGGCCTCCCCGACCTTCCCACCCTCCCTGGCCACCCTGTCTCGTCTCCCATTTGATCCTTCCCAGCACCTCTCCTGTCTCCATCACCAATCCTCCTTCCTTTGTGCAGTTTCCCACTGAACCCACCTGCTGAGGGTCCCGGGGACAGAGAGCTTGCCCATGGGCACTGTTGCAATTCCGTGCACCCAGCCAGGCACTCAGTGAGTGCTCAGTAGCTGCCTGTAGAAGATCCAGTGTTATTTCATGGAGGCCTCTTCAGATATCTGCTTTGTCAGCCTTGCGTTCAGAGAACCTGCCTGGGTGCAGCCAGGACGTGGAGCCTCCCGTGAGCCTGGACGGGAAGGATGTCGGTGCGGCCAGTGTTCTGCGACATCCCTGGCTCACGTCACGTTAACTCACCTGTGTGCCTGACAACTCTGTCTGCAAACTTTTCTTCAGTGACAGTGATGAGAAAACACACCTCAGCTTAGTCCCTTGGCCCTTGTACTTTTGGGAAATAGGGATACAGAGTTAAGGCGAGGCATACTGAGCTCAGATGCTAAGTGGAAATGCTCATTGTGGTGGGAGGTCCAGAGGGGCGGCCAGGACACTAGGAGGTGACCTCCAGCCAGGCTCAGCGGCATGGTGTGGCGCAGGAAGGTGTCGAGAGTGGGTCTTGGAAGGTGGGAGAATTGGCGGCGTGTCCCAGGTGGAGGGGTGGGGATGTGTCCCAGGTAGGCAGAGAGGCCTGGGCGGAGGTCAGGTGGGAACCTGGGGAGTCTCAGGTGTGCCAAGCTCAGTGAGGGTGAGAAGGCGGCTGTGGAGTCTGCTCCAGCTTAGAATCCCCAGCCTGAACATCCCGGGTCAGCCGAGGCCCAGCTCAGGGCCTGGTCTGCCCTGGACCGTGCCCATTACCCTTGGAAGAGTGCCCATCCAGCCCCCTCCCCAGGAGGCCACATACTCCGCGTACTGATAGCTCCCCCGCCTGTCTCGCCACTTCCAGACTGAAGCGGTCCCCGCTGAAGGTGAGATTCTGCACCAATGAGTCACAGAAGTCCCGGGGAGACCTGGTGGGGCTGCTTCGGCGGCTGGGCTTCGACATCTCCGAGGGCGAGGTGACGGCCCCGGCCCCAGCCACCTGCCTGATCCTGAAGGAGCGAGGCCTGCGGCCACACCTGCTTATCCATGACGGTAGGCTTGCGGTGCCCTGGTACCCCGTGGGGGTGAAGGCGCTTCCTTTCCAGGTGGGGGCTGGGCGGTGGGGGGGATCCTTGTCACCTGCGCCAAACCACTGGAGGGACATAGAGGTAACACCTGGCTCCTGGTGGCACCCATGGGTTTCGGGGTGGAAACCTGTGGGCTCCCTGCTGGGGACCTGGCCCCATTCATCCCCACCCCAACCTCATACCAGACGATGCTGAGAGGCAGGTTCCAGATGGAGCCTCGGAAGAAGGCCCTGAGTTTGCTGTCTGTGACCTGGAGTGAGATGAGTGCAGGGAATTGTCAAGGGGGCAAAATCTCAGCTTCTGGGTGGGTGTGTGTGTCAGAGAGAGAGAGACAGAGAGAGCGAGCAAGCGGATGAAGAGCTGGACTGAGGTCTGAAGGGTTCTGGGACCCATAGGCTGAACTGTATTTGTGAGGACCAGCCCCGCTCTCCGGCAGATGGCACATGTTTACTTCCTGATATTAGACTGAATGCAAGAAAAGAGCCCTTTGACCCTCAGAGGGGAGTTTTTCTGGAATGAAGAGGAAGGAACAATATTACCTGGTGCCTTCTGAATACTTAAAAAAGCAGAGCTGTAAGCAATGCTTCAGAATTCAGGGCACTTCCCTATCGTCTCACTGAGTCCCCCTCCTTCCTTCCCCTGCACTTGGTATTTTTACTTAGAAACCTCTGGCAGAGACAGGCATGCTTTTCTGCCTCCAGGCAGCGGGGTTGGGAGGGCAGTCCCAGAGATGGAGGGAGCCCCCTGGAGGTCCGGGCGTCAAGTGCACAGCTCTGGTGCCAGTCAAGGGCGACATGCCCAGCCTTTAGAAATCGTGTTTCTCAAAATGCTTCCTCTGGGATCTAGGATCCTTGCCAGTGTCTTTAGAACAGATCCTCAAAGAAAGAGAGAGACTTAAGATAGAAAATCCCCCCTCCCCAGGGCAGTGGGAGGGGCAAGGGTGGGACAACCAGAAATGAGAGGGAAACTCAGGGTTTGCCTTGAAGGTGACATTAATCAGTGAGTCCAATAGGCACATATTAGAGCTGGAGTCGCTCTAGGAGAAGCCGGATGCCCTTCACCTATAATTCTGTGTCTGTGTTTTCCATGGATGTACCTGTGTTTTCAGACTTTGAATCTTTTTTTTAAGTTTTATTGTTGATGAATTCCACCCCCTCACCATGTTTTATTATGAGAATTTCAAACATGTGGCAAAGCTGAAAGAATTTTACTTGGAATATTTGTATGCCCATCACCTTGATTTTACCAAAGGACATTTTGCTATTTTTCCTTCATGATGTGTCTACCCATCCCTCCCTCTGTCTGTCCATCTTTATCTTTTCGATGCATTTCAAAGTAAATTGCAGACATTGGTACCCTTCTCCTAAACACTTTGCATCATGATCTAGAGTTCCTCAGCTGTTTAGTTTTTTCTTTTGATGTAAAATTTACATTAATGAAATGCAAAAATCCCAAGCGTACTTTTGCTGAGTTTTGACCAATGCACACATCTGTGTAACTCAGACCCCTATCAAGACCCAGAGCATTATCATCGCCCCGAAAGTTCCCTCTTGCCTTTCCCTGTCAGTCTCCATCCCCAGCCCTTGTAGAAGCACCCGCTACTCGGATTTTTTCCATTATAAATAAATTTACCACGTCTTGAATTTCATATAATCATATCACATCTAGTTGTTGGGGTTCTCAAGACCACCTCAGGCTTGGTGATTTGCTTGAAGGACTCACAAGACTCAGAAAACTGGTCCTACTCATAGATATGGTTTATTTCAGTGAAAGACTACAGATAACATTCAGCAGAGGGAAGAGATGTGTGGGCAGAGACCAGGAGAATCCAGGCATGAGCGTCCAGTGGCGTTGTGCTGGGATGCACTTGAGTCTCCCGGCGGCGATGTGTGACAGTACGTGTGCAGTGTTGTCACCCCGAGAAGCTCAGTGGAGCCTTGTGCCCAGGGCTTTATTAAGGGTCAGTCAGGACGGCATGCAGCCCCCGTGGGCCTGACCCTGGCTACTCAGTCTCCAGCCCCGCAGGTGACCAGCTGATACGGCGTGGCCCGGGGCCCCAGGTACACAGAAACACTCTTCCAGGCAAAATATTCCATGGGCTTGGAGGTGGTCTCCTGGGAGCTGACAGAGGGCCCACCCTGAAAACCGCCTTTCTCTGGCCGTGCAGGGCGTGAGCCGCCCAGGCCTGCCGAGTTGCCCCTTTCTTTGTGTGTAGGGCTTCCTTCCCCGGCATGCTGTTCATCTGCACGTACCGGCAGGTCTCTTCTGCCTGACTGCAGAGTGGTATTCCTTTGCGTGAACATCCCATGGTTTGTTTATCCGTTCCCCTGTTGCTAGACACCTGAGTTGTTTCTGGTTTAGGCCATTAGGAATCAATCTGCTGTGATCATTCCTGTGCAGTTCTTTTGGATAAACACTTAGGAGTGACCTTTCTGGGTCATAGGGTAGGTGTGTGTTCAGTTTTATGAGAAACTGCCAGCCCCTTTCCCGAAGGGCCCGTATCATTTTACATTCCTGCTGCTCCACACCCTCACCAGCACTTGGTGTTGTCAGCCTTTCTAACTCTCTCCATTCTGGTGGGTATGAAGTGGTATCTCATTGTGGTTACTTCAATTAAAAAAATTCTTTTTTTTAATGGGGGAGGTAGTTAGATTTATTTCTTTATTTTTAGAGGAGGTACTGGGGATTGAACCCAGGACGTCATGCATGCTAAGCATGCTCTTTATCACTTGAGCTACACTC